GTTGAGCCCCAGGAAACCCAAGATGGACATCCCATGGATATTGTAGAACAGCCAACAACATCAAAAAGGGCTCGACTAGACCGCCCAGTTGGTGAGGAGGAAAGAATAAAACATCGTATAAAGCCATTTACGCTAGTTCATACAACGACATCGAATTGCGAAAGCTGATGAATTTCAGAAAAGGGATTCAGGATGGGCTATTAAGCATTTTATATTGTATGAAATTCAAATATTGAAGCTGGAGCATCTTCCTGGTTCGGGATATATTGAAGCACCTAATGGTATAAGGAAAAGAAATGCACTGATAAATGTTAAAAATAATGACATTTATTGTTTTAAGTGGTGTATTTCGGCTCACATAGCATACATGAAACACATACAATTGAATTTTGATACATCAGCTAAAAAAAAATCAGCTCGCGAAATACTGCCCAGAACTTCGTTTATGGAATTTTGGATATTAGCCAACCCATTATAAAATATGATCAAAAAGGATTAAACTTTTCGGGAATAGAGTTTCCAATTACAAAGGATGGAATAAAGCTGTTCGAGAAAAATAACTCAAATTACAGTATAAATGTATATGAAATTTATAAAGGTCGCATAAAAGGTCCTACAATTAGGACTAAAGAAGTTAAAAGCAACCATATTGATATATTGGGTATAGAAAATCCTAAAGAAAATTGTTTGCATTATGCATACATAACAAGTATAAAAACATTGTGTAAATCACAAGTAAATCACTCAAATTCGGAAAGATACTTTTGTAGAAATTGCCTACAATTTTATTGCACCACAAACAAGACCCACAATATTAAGGAGTGCGGTCAAGTGGCTGCACTATACCCCCAACCGAACACAAAAACCAAATTTGAGAATTTTTCTAAAAAACTGTCACCACCCGTGGTAATTTATGCGGATATTGAGGCGGTTTTGAAAATTACCACACAGCCTCTAATAATCCAAACGCCTCGTACACCAAGCCTGTACAGAAACATACAGCATGTGCTGTTTCGTTTTATGTGGCTCATAAATACAATACCTATGAAGGTAAATAAATTCAAAACATTAAATTATAAGTTTTAAAATTAATAATATTATTATTTTTATTCCTTTTTATAAATTACAGGACATGACTGTATGAAGGTGTTTGTAAAAACTTTGGAAGAGAAGACAATGGTTTTATATAACAAATACTGGAAAGGTAAAAAAACCGATATACAACTTCGATATCTGCGACGAGGACTACCAGGAGCATGGGAACTGCTATGTGTGTGAAGAGGCCATCAGTACGGATGAACGCGTTCAATATTTTAATCAGTTCACGGGTAAATACCAAGGACCTATCCATAGAAGTTGTAAAGATAGTTTTAAGTTAAGAGCTTATTTCCCTGTAGTTTTTCATAATTTATCTAGATACGATGTCCACCTCTTTATTAATGCCCTAGGGGGTAAATTGAAACCAATACCCTCTACTAAAGAGTTATATATTGCTTTAAATCAGCCTATTTTTGAAAAGGGAAAGACTAATTATACTATAAAGTACATAGATTCCAATAGGTTTTTAAATTCAAGTTTAGAAAAATTAGCTTTCAACATGGAAGATAAAGATTTTAAAATATTAAATTCAAAATTTAGTGAAGAGAAGTTTAGGCAAATGAGAAGAAAGGGAGTATTTCCCTATGATTATTTAGATGGTTTTGAAAAATTCAATGAAACCGAACTTCCTCCGAGGGAATATTTTTATAATTCGTTGAAGGACGAAGAGTGTAGTGTTAGTGAATACAATTTCGCTATAGAAATTTGGAGTTCGTTTCAGTATAGAACTCTAAAAGACTACATGAAACTGTATTTGGAGAGTGACGTTTTAATTTTAGCAGACGTTTTTGAAAATATGTACAAGAATATATAAAATAGACCCGGTTAATTATGTTTAAGCCCCATCTATTTCATGGGATGCTAAGCTGAAGTATACAAAAGTAGAAATAGAATTGATAAGTGATCCTAACAAGTACAATTTTGTAAAAAGAGGTGTACGTGGAGGACTGACTCAATGTACCCAAAGAATTTCAAAGGCAAATAATGAGTACATGAGAAATTATGATAAAACGAAACTGTAATATGCACATATGTAGAAACATGTAGCGAGGTAACACTGTACCCTGCATGCATATAACAAACAAATAAACCAATTCAAGTGCGCGAAACAAGACCGCCCAGTTACGAGTTAGGCTAAGTCAGCGTTCCCACGCTGACCGCATGTGCATAAGACTCACTCTCTATACATTTACATAAACTAAGCGTGCATGCTCATGTGACATGCTCGCCCAACAACATACCACCTAAGTATATGTATATAAGAAATATGTAATGCAGCCGCTCCGCTGCCGGCTGAACTGGCAACGCAGCGCGCGCCGAACTTATGTATTTAGACTTAGAGGATTCTTAATATTTTGAATTAAAATCAGAAATAAAATAGTATTCAAAGAGCACATTATATTGAGCATATTATTGATCCTTCTACATGGCGATCCTGCCAGGCGACGAACCTGGACTCTTCTACATGGCGACCGTCACAGGACCGGACAAAGGACATCGTCCATCCAAGGACTAAAACCGAGGAGCCCATGGAAGAATACATGGCGGAATTTTAAAGAAAAAAACTACAAAAAGTGAAAAAAAGGGAATTTACGGGGAAAAAGAATCTGAGTGAGTAAAGTGCAGTGATGGGTAAACGCGGAGGTGTACAAAACAAAATCAAAAAAAAGGGAAACACACCTCAAATGGTATCTGCACTTGTAAACAAGTACATCGCCTCCAGCGTTGTCAAGAAGGCTAAAGTTACAAGCTGAATTTGACTTACTAAAATCAAAATGAACAAAAAAAATACCCAAACGATCTGACACTCACTCAGCCCTCACATACAAACAAACTGAGCAGCGAATAATTAAACCTCCAAGCAACTTCAAAGGAGACCAGAGCAAAATCTAAATGCGAAAAATACCTAATCGCAATACCTACGGAAACCGCAAAGTAACGAAGTGGAAGAAAAAGTGCCCGAAAGACTGCGAGGGACCGCTCTACTCGCCGTACTGCGAGTTTACCTGCAAAAAGGAAGACCGACAGCGCTTCCTAGAGCGCACATCGTTATCCTTGCCAAGCACCTGTGAAGCCAGCACCGGTGCCCCATCAAAAGACAACAGCCAGGACCAGCCCGCTTGACGACCAAGGAGAACAGACCGGCAGCGCTTCCTAGAGCGCCCATCAAGTTTTTTTTTCCTTCTTTACCCAATGCACTGCGTTGCATATTTTTTTGTATTGCACTGCGATGCATATTTTTTTATATATATATATATATAATAATTGTAAAATTGAGCGATATTAATGTTGCCCGATTAGCGTGTGGCCTGAAAACCATACAAAAAACTAAGCAGGTTTCTTTATGTTAAAAAAAAAAATAAATAATAATTTTGTAATATGGCCAAATAAGGCAATTTTCATATTTACACATTCAACCCATTAAATGTTACACATTTACACAAACATAAAGCCCAAAAAAACTTAAGAAAAATAAATGAGCCAAAATAAATGGCAAATTAATAATAAATTGAATTACACAATCAAATTAAGGAAAAATATATTAACGAACGAGAAGACACCCAAAATGGGGTTAGTAGATGTAAAGCAGGTGGACTCCACTGCTAATGTAATAAACAAAGTTGAATCCAAAACAATTGATCTAGAACTAACGAAAATCTTATTATTAATTATTGTATTAATTATGAGCGCATATGAGCGCTTATATCTTGTATAAGGCTTATATATTTCACAACAAATTTATATCTAAAAGAGCCATAAACAGAAGCCAGGCTAATGATCTGGACAAAGTATAAATATTAAAAAAAAAAAAAAAAAAAACAGAAAGCGCCTACAATAATTAATAATAATGCCTAATAATGCCTACAATAATTATTAAAAATATGTTCCGTTAATAAATAAAACACCTACAACACCTATAATATGTATATCCATATGGAGATATATTATTTTTAGGATGCTATATTGAAGTACAGAATATATTTTTATAAAGTATGAAGTACAATCTATTTTTATGTCTAATGAAATAGAAATGAAACAAAAATAAATGAATATAACCCTGTCCAAGAAAATATCCCGATAATATTATATCCGTAGTCCATTAGATAATGGAATGGAAGGAAATTTATGAAAGATTTCATGGTATAAAAATTGATTTTGACAAATCTTATAAGTCATTATCAAGATCTAGGCCAGCACAGATAAACACTGTGAATAAGCATGCAGAAATATTAGTAAACCGCTTCAATACAGCGCGTACACTGATACATGACCAAAGAGACAGGCTAGACAAAGCCCATTGGTCTCAGGTGTCAAAATATCTGAATAAATTAAGAGACAATCTCATATTTATAAAGCAAAGGTACGACCTAAAAATTTCAGTACCAACGATTCTGAACACACCCCTGACAATAGAAACTGGTGAAGAGTCAGAATATTCAGATTTATCATCACAGGTACAAGCTGAAACTCATGACCCTATCTCCACGGAACCCGAAATTGAGGAAAAAGATATAAACAATCTTACAATTCCGGCTGTCCTTATTCAATCTGAATTATCAGACCAGGACTACACAGATTCAGATTTAGACAACAGCATTTTGGAAGTAAAACCTACCACAATGACTGACGAAACAATTGCCCAAAAGGCATACATTAGGGAAATATCGAGTGCCATCCCAGAATTTAACGGGCAAAGGTTACACCTGCAAAGATTCATAACAGCTTTGAGGTTAGTCAACCTAACGAAAGGCACATTCGAAGCTTTGGCTGTAGAAGTTATTAAATCCAAAATAGTTGGATTCACTTTGTACAGAGTCCAAAGCGAAACGACTATAGAAGCAATAATTAAAAAACTGCAAGATACTATAGTCGGAGAAACATCTGACGTGGTTAAAGCCAAAATGGCAAAAACAGGCCAGAAAGGAAAAACGGCAGAAAAGTTTACAACAGAGATAGACAACCTACGGAAGCTTCTAGAAGCTTCGTATATTGATGAAGGTCTATCGGCCGAGCACGCTGACAAATTCAGCACCAAGGAAGCCATCTCCACAATGGTTAAAAATTGTGAGCATGACCGACTTAAAACAATATTGGAAGCAAGTAATTTTGCAACAATGAATGAAGCCGTCACGAAGTACATACAATGCAGTACTGAAATGACAGGCAATGCAAATTCCATATTATACGCCTATCGAGGAAACTATCGCGGTAATAATTACAAAAACAATTATCGCGGTAGAGGTAATAATCGAGGTAGATATAACAATAACGGATATTACCAAAATAATGGAAATAACCAAAATAATGGTTACTACGGAAACAATAACTATAATAACCATAACTACATGAACAACAACAGCCGTGGTGGAAATAATCGCGGCGGACACGGCCATGGTGGAAACCATAATAATAATGGCAATAATAGCCACAACCATGGCAATAACAACCATAACAATAACGTCAGGGTAGTCCATACAGATTCGGGAAACTCCCAGACGCCTTTAGGTACACAACAGTAAGAAACACCAAAGTTCACACTATAAATCTCAGTCAAAGTACATTTGTTAGTTTCACAAACGTAGCAACAGGAAAAGAATTAGTTTTTTTATTAGATACAGGTGCAGAAATATCCATATTAAAGGAAAATTCTGATGCTTTTCAAAACATCAAAAATAATCAAATAATAAACATACAGGGTATAAGTCAAGAAGTTACCAAATCAAAAGGTTTAACTTCTATTTAAATTCAAACTTCAAAATACATAATTCCACATGATTTCCATATCGTAAATTTGCAGTTCGCTATTCCATGCGATGGAATACTAAGAATCGATTTTATTAAAAGATACAACTGTCAATTAGACTTCAAGCCGTCTGAAGACTGGCTTATAATAAGACCAAATAACGTCCAATATCCTATTTATGTTCCAATAACATATAGCTCTGACAATAACTCTCTAATTCTGCCAGCAAGATCCCAAGTCGTCCGAAAAATTGAAATGAATTCAGAAAATGACAGTGTATTAATTCCGATTCAAGAAGTTCAGCATAGTATCTATATAGCAAATACCATAGCAACAACCCAGAATGGATATATAAAACTATTAAATACCACAGATAAGGATCAAGTAGCTTACATTAAAAATATTCAGCATGAACCACTTTCAAACTACGAAGTAGTACAAACTGACTTAGAAACCCGAGAAAAAATTGTATTATCCAAACTTTCCAAAAACTTCCCTCCTCAATTCAACGAACAACTCACAAAATTATGCACCCAGTATAGTGATGTGTTCGGACTAGAAACCGAATCAATCACTACCAATAATTTCTATAAACAAAAACTGAGATTAACTGATGATGAACCCGTATATATAAAAAATTATAGAAATCCTCATAGTCAACAAGACGAAATTCAAAAGCATGTCCAAAAACTCATTAAAGATGAAATAGTGGAACCCTCTGTATCACCATATAATAGCCCACTATTGTTAGTGCCAAAAAAGTTAGTACATAAAAAATGGCGATTAGTAATTGACTATCGTCAAATTAATAAAAAACTCTTGTCTGATAAATTTCCGCTCCCTAGAATCGACGATATTTTGGATCAACTAGGTAGAGCAAAATATTTCTCATGCCTTGACTTAATGTCGGGTTTTCACCAAATTGAACTCGAAAAAAGTTCACGCTATATAACATCCTTTTCAACAAACAATGGTTCATATCGCTTCACGCGATTGCCATTCGGTTTAAAAATAGCGCCAAACTCATTTCAGAGAATGATGACTATAGCTTTCTCTGGATTAGAACCTTCGCAAGCATTCCTTTATATGGATGACTTAATAGTCATAGGTTGCTCTGAAAAACACATGCTCAAAAACTTAACTGATGTTTTCGAGAAATGTAGGCAGCACAACCTAAAGTTACATCCAGAAAAATGTTCATTCTAGTGCATAAATGCACAGATAAAGGAATTTTGCCCGACGACAAAAATACGACGTCATTCAAAATTACCCAGTCCCACATGATGCGGACAGCGCTAGAAGATTCATCGCATTTTGCAATTATTACAGACGTTTCATAAAGAATTTTGCAGAATACTCCCGTCACATAACAAGATTATGTAGGAAAAATGTAAAATTCGAATGGACAGCGGAATGTCAAAACGCCTTCGGACATTTTAAATCAGCATTAATAAATCCAACTCTGTTGCAATACCCAGATTTTAGCAAAGAATTTCGCATAATCACAGATGCTAGCAAATACACTTGTGGAGCAGTCCTAACTCAAAACAAAAATGGACTTCAGCTTCCGGTTGCATACGCATCAAGATCCTTTACGAAAGGTGAAAGCAACAAGAGCACTACAGAACAAGAACTAGCAGCTATTCATTGGGCAATTACACTTCAGACCATATATTTATGGTAGACATTTCACTATCAAAACGGACCACAGAGCACTTATTTACTTATTTTCAATGGTAAGTCCCATTTCCAAACTAACAAGAATGAGACTTGAATTAGAGGAATATAATTTTACGGTAGAGTACCTAAAGGGCAAAGATAATTATGTAGCCGATGCGCTCTCCAGAATAACAATCACAGACTTAAAAAACATACAATCAAATATTCTGAAAGTCACTACCAGAAACCAAAGTAGACAAAAATCCTGCGCAGGGAAAGAACAAAAAGAATTGCATAACCAATCTATTGAAAAAGCTTCAGAGCCCAACGTATATGAAGTCATGAATAATGATGAAGTACGTAAAGTAGTGACCTTGCATGTAAATAATAAGATGTGTTTATTTAAGCGCGGTGTGTTTAAGATGTGTTTATTTATGATGTTAGCGATTTGTATACTAATGGAACCCTTGACTTAGGTCAGTTCTTCCAAAGGCTTAAAAAGCAGGCCGCTATTCACAAAATCAGCCAACTAAAAGTGGCACCGTGGGAAAATATCTTAGAACATGTTTCTATGATAATTTTAAAAATATGGGCAATTATATACTGAAATCATTAAGAGTAGCGCTACTCAACCCGGTGACCGTAATAAAAAATAATAAAGATAAAGAAGCTATATTGTCTACATACCATGATGATCCTATACAAAGTGGTCATACAGGCATTACAAAAACCTTGGCCAAGGTCCAGAGACACTATTACTGGAAAAATATGTCCAAAGACATAAAAGAGTACATAAAGGAATGTCCTAAATGCCAAAAGTCTAAAACGACTAAACATACTGAGTCCCCATTAACCATAACTGAAACTCCGCAAAGAGCTTTCGATAGAGTAATTGTGGATACGATTGGTCCACTACCCAAATTTGATAATGGAAACGAATCCATTATCCATAAACGAATACGGAAACGAGTAACACTCATCTGCGATTTAACTAAATACTTAGCAATACCAATACCAGATAAAAGTGCAAATACACAGTAGCAAAAGCTATATTTGAAAATTTTATTCTAAAGTACGGTCCAATGAAGACATTCATTACGGACATGGGAACGGAATATAAAAACTCAATTATTGGGAATTTATGTAAAAATTTAAATATTGAAAACATAACTTCGACTGCACATCATCACCAGACTGTAGGTACCGTGGAGCGAAGCCACAGAACACTCAATGAGTTTGATTGGGATGATTGGGATGTATGGCTACAATACTTCGCCTATTGTTTCAATACAACACCCTCTATGGCACATGACTATTGTCCATATGAATTAGTTTTTGGTAAAACGTCAAATCTATCAAAACATTTTAATAGCCGAGTCGTAGGCCATAGCAGCTAGTACTCTTTTAAGAAACCCATTAGATTTAGTATTATATACTAGATTTAATTTTGTTAAATAAATAAATAAATAATTTTAATAGCGTAGATATAATAGAACCCCTTTACAATATAGAAGATTACGCTAAGGAATCAAAATTTAGATTGGAGCAGGCATTTAAGAGAGCTAGACTAATGCTAGAAGCTCATAAGCTAAAACAAAAAATTATTTACGACAAAACTAGTTTGAATTTTGATTTAAAAATAAGAGATCAGGTTTTATTAAAAAATGAAACAGGACATAAACTAGATTTTAAATACACAGGTCCTTATAAGGTAGAACAAATAGAAGATAGAGATAACATAACAATATCAAATAATAAGAATAAAAAACAACTAGTACACAAAGATCGATTAAAACTTTTTATTTCATAATCAATTTTAATTTCATAAATATATCACGTATGGACATACATATACACATACATATACCTATACACATACATATACATATGTATATATAAAAATTATATAAAGATACATATAAAAATAAGTAAACACATAAAAATAAGGAAACACAAAAAAAAAAGCATGTATAAAATAAACATGCATACCTAAGACAAAACAAAAAAAAAATAGTAAAAGTAAAACAAAAAAAAAAGAAGACACAAAAAAAATGTAATCTTATTATTATAAATAATATCATGTCTTAACGTTGTAAAATGTATACTAGAAAATAACTCCATTATATTACGTTATTTTTCAAAAGGAGGGAGATGTAATATGCACAAATGTAGAAACATGTAGCGAGGTAACACTGTACCCTGCATGCATATAACAAACAAATAAACCAATTCAAGTGCGCGAAACATGACCGCCCAGTTATGAGTTAGGCTAAGTCAGCGTTCCCACGCTGACCGCATATGCATAAGACTCACTCTCTATACATTTACATAAACTAAGCGTGCATGCTCATGTGACATGCTCGCCCAACAAAATACCACCTAAATATATGTATATAAGAAATATGTAATGCAGCCGCTCCGCTGCCGCCTGAACTGGCAGCGCAGCGCGCGCCAAACTTATGTATTTAGACTTAGAGGATTCTTTATATTTTGAATTAAAATCAGAAATAAAATAGTATTCAAAGAGCACAGACGTGCATATATTATTGATCCTTCTACATGGCGATCCTGCCAGGAGACGAACCTGGAATCTTCTACTACATTTGTCGTACATTGACGCAAATAATTTATATGGTTGGGCTATGAGCCCAATAGTAGTATGTAATTAGGCAAACGGCGTACGACGTAAATTTAGTGGCGCCATCTATGGGTCAAGTTTGTGTAAAATTGGGCAGCGCCATCTACCGTAATATTTTATACGCCCTCTATTGGCATAAAAGCAAACGATCATGCCAAAAATTATACTTGCCAGGATCATCGCCGTCTATGTTTTCTATATTTTCTGATATCTTGTCTATGTTTTCTATATTTTCTGATATCTTGATATACGTGAGTTATAAATGATGGTATGTTTACAAATTCTCACAGCCAATCAAAAAATATCCTTATGTTTATGTATATCATAGTCTTTCTTAGATACTTTGAATGATCAAAAGCCTGTTATTGGCTACACAAAGACTGAAGACCTATGTATTAATTTCGAATACAAGATCATTGGATGTAAGATAAAGAAAACCACATATGGGACGAAAATAGCCCTTTATTTGACTGATAAGG